TAGCTACATCCGGCTTGAAACCAACGCATCCTCTGTGGTATAGTCGCCGACACTTACTATTAGCACACTTGACGCCCTCTATAGCAGAAGCAAAGCGATTGCAACCCGCGCACTGAATACCTGGCATTGTAGTAGGCGAAAAGGTAAAACCGCGTCTTAGTTAGTTTAGTGCAAAATCACTAGATGGCCACTGGTCCGATATCAATCGATGAGTTTGGTATGATGTTAATAACACTGACCAAAAAAAGAGGGTAGAAATTAAATATATTTAGTCACTGTGTTCTATTTATTTCCTTTAAATCCCTTTATGCACTCAATCCACTGCCGACTCCAATATATGTCACTTTGCGCCGCACTGTGTTTACAACAACGTAAGTATATAAATGACTACTATGTTCCACGAATTATTAATAAAAAGCAAGACGCGCACGAACTGCACCGACAGACGTCAAACGTCAGATTTTTTTGCGGATGCCTACGTCAAAACATCTACCTGCATGCCAAATTTCAGTCCGATTTGTCCAGCGGTTTGCTGTGCGATCTGATAGATCACTATATCAGTCATCATCGCATGTCATTTTTAATATATTTAGAAGATTTTTAGTCTGAATATTCTTAATGGTATTATTATCATGCAAAATAAAAAAAGAAAGATCTACTCTAACGATATGAATATAGTGGCTGTTTTTATATTTCGTCCTCTTTTTAAGTATATAAGTTTATTTTATTTTTAAGCCTTAACCTTTGTGGTGCCATAACATTCACTAAAAGTAATAAATATATATTTAAGTTGTATTTTGTACTCTATCGACTCCAAGTTTTCTTTTTGTTGCACTTACCATGCTCTATCTGCATTAAGGCATTAAGTCTGCCTATGTAATATGCATGTTTTGTAATTAATACATACCTAATAACTGCTAATTAAAACAAAATTAAATACTTTAGAAATCTTTTTTAATAATAGTATAATATTAATGTATATTTTTGGTAATACAATAAATTAAATAACATAGTCTTTTTAATTAACCGAGAAGGGAGGCAACGACTGCGGGTGGGACAGCTCCTCCGGGTCCCTGTTCGATCTCGGGCTGGTATCCGTTGTCGTCAGCAACGTAGTTGATACGGTAGAATACTCCGTCAGGTCCTACCCAGGTGAAGGATCCCTTGACAGCGATGGACTCGTCTTCCCGACCCTCGTTTCTGATCTCAGCCTTTTGCTCTGCGCCGGTACCATCAGACAATTCATATCTAAAAAAATACAAATTTTAAATAGTCATATTAGAGAAGAATAACTGAAGTGACTAATCGTACACAGAATTTTATGCAAAAATATGGCACTATCTATTGACACCAACTTCGTTTTGGATAAAAAAACTGTTTTACTTAATTGCGATAGGCAGCTAATGAAAAAGTGGATCTCAGTCATCTCAGAATACTAACAACACAATGATCCTTAACTAGATAGTTAATGAACTGTTCCTCTTACTTTCCATGGGACAGCAAAAGGAAGACCAACTTACCGGTATTCGTAGTTTCCGAGTCCCAGGTTGTCGTTCTCATATTTGAGAATTTGAACATTGTCTGGAGAGTAGTTTGTCCTTTGGGGAGGGGCAGCGAACGCCACCGCGACCAAGCAAAGAGCTACGATCTGTAAATAAAAGTAAAAACATAAATATCAGGAAGTTATGGGCTAAAATGTATTTATGTGCGATGTAGAAAAAACCTGTAAGTGACAGATTTATTTAAAATAAACAACTATTAAAACTGATGATTCAATTTTGTAATAAGCTGGAGAAGATTCTTAAGCTTTTCTCCTTATTGACACCAATATTTAATATATTTAGCTGAGCCAAACACTTTTATAAACACGCTTAAATAAGTTAATTTCACTGGTAACACTTGATAAGGATTTTAAACAAAAAAGAGCGCGAAAATGTCATTTTAAAAATAAAAAACATTTCTTGTTTTTGACAATCACAGTACACAATTTCACATAGAATAAAACGAACCAGTTTCATGTTGGAAGTGCTGATTTCACAGATGAATACGGTGAAGTGACGAATCTCACATGAAATTCGTGCTTTATATCTAGCACGACTTTTGATTTGATTTTATGCTAATAACACAGCAGAAGGTGAACCGCTAGACAACCGACGTAATCTCATTCCCTTTATCAATGAATAAACAAAACTTTTTGGAGCGGTCTTGCACAACCACACAACTGTCAATATAACCGATTTGTTTTTTTTATATATTAGAAATGTAACAAATGTACCACCAGCACATATTATATTATTGTAATTGAAAGTAGGTATAAATTGAAGAATGAACATCAACAAATACATTGGTTTTTTAACAAATCTTTGCTTTCCACTGATGTTTTGTGATATATATTTTATTTTATTTATTTATTTGCCAGTATCGATTTATATTGTGTTCGATACATTTCATTTCATACAGTGTAAATTAAAACATAAAACAATATACATTCTAAATTAGACATTCTTGATTTAATATGTGCCCTAGTAAGGAAATCAATTTATTTGACAGACAAATCATAAATCTATTGCAAGACCAAAGCCAACACAACAGCACAATACTAAAACCTAACATGTCCTAAAAATGGGAATTATTTCCTATTCACATGTTTTCTTACTTCTCCTAACCATTCCCCTTTTTCTACTGTTCTGCTTAAGAGATATGATTAATTAACTGTGTGTTGTGTGTTGTGTCTCTCGATTTATTCTGTCCTAGATATTATAATTTACTACTTACTTACCTTTACTTATACTTTTTTCGATTCAATACAACAATAAATCTTACTATGACTTATTCCATATTTCGTACTATGTATTCTGCGGAATGGAAAATATATCTTTACCAGTTCTATATGAGCACCTACTTAGGCGTGCTCCGCTTGAATTGGGATTTGAACATCAGCCATCTGCCAGAACGAACCTTAAACGAAAACTAATTGCAGTGCAATTAGTTGAGAGATAATCATGTGAGGAGGTGGATATGTTCATTCAACCATACATTGCATGCTTAAAATAAAATGTCTTTAAGATTAAACTTTTTAACACAATTGCATTTTCATAATAAATTGTGCTGTGGATATCAAAGATAAAAAATCTGTTGTCTTTGCTATCTTTAACTAGGTACTTGATTTGGTTTAGAATTGTGATTTCCACCAAGCTTATGTTCATGTTATTTTTATTTTATTTTTTATAAGTGCCCTGGTATACTAGGAACCCTTATGTGCTTTCGTCATGTCTGTCTGTCCGTCCGCGGGTAATCTCAGTGATCATTTACACTGGAAAGCTGAAATTTGATACCAATATGTATGTCAATTACGTCGAGGGAGTAGTAAAATATAAAGTAGTAAAAAAAAATCTGAGGCACCTAATGTAGTGACAGACACAGCTTTACTGCATGTAAAATACGGAGTGTTTTTTTTTTCATTTCAACCCTAACCTGACATACTTATTGTTGGATAGGTATTTAAAAATAAATAGGGTTTAAGTACTTCAGATCACTTTTGGATAATGTTAATATTTTCGGAAGTAATCGCTACAAAAGTTTAAAAAATTTGTCTATCATTTGGACCATAAGTTACGACAATAGACAATACGGAAAAAAATTTGAAGCAAAAAAAAATACTTTCCAGAAAAATTATCTTTTTGGCATAAATACTTTTTAATTATTTTGAACTCGATAAGTTGAGTTAAAACGTTTTTGAAAATTTTTGTAAAATAAATCTGGTCTAATTTTACCCAATATGCAAACATGTTTTTATTTTTGTTTATATATTTTATTATTGTGAACGTTTCATCTTTCAAAAAACAAAGGACTACTAAAATCGATTTACGTATACATAACCAATAAGTAACCCATATTTTTAAGAGATGGCGCTGTACTATTGCTATTTGTCGCTGAATTGCGATGTGGAGACAGACTCGAGGAATTCTACACTGAGCGTAGCCCAATGGGCTCTTGGCTAGTTTTTCTGTATTAATTTCAGGCACGACAATTTATTAGGTACATTAAAAAATTGGCGTTGTTGTGATGGTGTGTATGGTGGAGCGTTAACGTTAAATTGTATTCTTTTTCCATGGACTGTATAGTGAGTTATTTTGATTGATCTACTTAAAAACGATATGGAAAATCATCAAAGGACGTCTCTCGACGATGGAGGAAGTGTCAGACTCTTGTTGACCAAAAACCCCCCCGTTCTTTCTTCTGCTCTGGGCCGAGACCGCTGTAACTCATTGCGCTTGCAATGCAGCCCCGTCTGAACATCAGCCCTATGGGGCCTCGTCTGTGGTGGTATATTGTCTTTTTGAGGCGCACGCGGAACGCTATGCGCCGTACGCTCGGGTCTGGTTCTGATCGGGCGGCGAGCTACCCTTACTCGCGATGGGTGGACATCGTCTCTCAATTACGGGGTTGCTGGGGGTGCAAGCGCAATAATTTACCGGGGCCTGAAACATGAGAATGGACTGGGTGGGTTAAGGGCGAGAAAAGATACATATTTAACGACTAAGCACCCTCGTTATAATGTATAAATATGATTATCATTGATAGACTTGTAGGAGCGGCGATATTAGTTCTCCTTACTCCTTTACCTTTTTATATAAAATAGTTAGTCCGTTGAAATCTTTGGTGTATGAATTCTTTAAATTTATATCAATTGAGCTCAAAACTACATAGCAAAAAATATCAAATATTGTTTCTCTAACAACATAAAGTTGCTTTATATCTTTTTAGTCTATGAGTATTACTGATTTTATTTTTAATTATTGTCATTTTATGGCAATATCTGAAATTTTATTCTAAGAATGGCTTATTTCCCTAAGCATGACTTTTCTTTATTTCATATTTTAAAATTATATAGGAATGAAACAAATTCAAACAGAAAAATAAATTTCGTCAACAGTTTTAATACTAATATTATACATATTTTTGGTAATACAATAAATTAAATAACATAGTCTTTTTATTTAACCGAGAAGGGAGGCAACGACTGCGGGTGGGACAGCTCCTCCGGGTCCCTGTTCGATCTCGGGCTGGTATCCGTTGTCGTCAGCAACGTAATTGATACGGTAGAATACTCCGTCAGGTCCTACCCAGGTGAAGGATCCCTTGACAGCGATGGACTCGTCTTCCCGACCCTCGTTCCTTAGCTCAGCCTTTTGCTCTGCACCGGTACCATCAGACAATTCATATCTAAAAATATAAACTGTTTTAATAACTGCAGCTAAGACAAAACTGGCTCTCAGAGTACTTATAGACAAGTTCTCAGAATACCAACAACAGATGACCCTTAACTAGATAGTTAACGAACTGTTCCTCTTGCTTTCCATAGGACAACAAAACAAAGATCAACTTACCGGTATTCGTAGTTTCCGAGTCCCAGGTTGTCGTTCTCATATTTGAGAATTTGAACATTGTCTGGAGAGTAGTTTGTCCTTTGGGGAGGGGCAGCGATCGCCACCGCGACCAAGCAAAGAGCTACAATCTGTAAAAGAAAGGAGAAAAATATATTTATATACCAGGAAGATATGGACTAAGATGGATCGATGGAGTGATGTAAAAACAGTAAACTACTGAGTTGTATATAGTTAACAACTGTTAAAACTGAAGAAACATTTTTGTAGCATTCTATTAAGTTTATTTTTATTGACACTTCTTTTTTATGATTCTTGGTATCCTTTACACTTGTATAAACACACTTAGATACAACATTTTGTTTCACTGATAACACTTTTAAGGATTTTAATAAAAAAGAGTGCTCGAAAAACTTCTTTTAAATGTTAAAATGTGTTATTTTTAATATTGTCACAATACACAATTTCACATAAAATAAAACAAACCAGTTTCATGTTGGAAGTGCTGATTTCACGGATGGATACGGTGAAGTGACGAATCTCACATGAAATTCGGGCTTTATATCTAGCACGACTTTTGATTTGATTTTATGCTAATAACACAGCAGAAGGTGAACCGCTTGACAACTCATGTAATATTATTCCCTTTATCAATGTATAAACAAAACTTGTAAGAACAGACTTACTCAACAACACGATTCCGGACTGTATTAATTTAATCAGATAATTAGACTATCGATTATCTTTTTTTGTAAGAATGAACTTACTGCAGTTAGATATAAGGCCTATTTTATTCTGACGCCACCTAGCTTTTTAAGAAAGTTTAATTTATTTTTGTGTATAATTATAAATTTTGCTTTCGATATATTATTATGTTTAGATTTTGCAAAAATACCTTGAGATAGTTGCGAAAAATATCCGAATGCTAAATGTCTAAGTTGAGCTATTAGCTTAGAGGTTGGGTCGGCAGATGGTTCATTATAACTTTGAAATGTAAATAATTATAATCTGCTTTATAAAATGTATAATAGAAAATACTCGTTCTTGGTAACAACCAAGTTGTTTTGTTTATAATATTGTTGTTTTGTTTTTTACAACTTATGTGACATTTCGTTGAATACCTTTTTTTGGTGAGTATGAAAATTTGACGCTCTAAGTTTTGACTTTATCATTGTTATAATCAGTCGTAGCTTTTATCACATTCATTCTGAAGTTTAACAAAAAACAACTTTTATAACTTGTATCATCATCATCAGCTACTAACCCACTGCAAGTAAAAGCCGCTTCTCACACTGAGAAGGTTTGTTCAATAATCATGACGCAATCTCCAGGAAAATTTTAAATTTTTTAAATTTTAAAATTATAATAAAAGTGCTTAGATCAGGTTTTCTTTTTATAAAAGGAAACCCCCGTCCAGGGTGTGGCGAGAGGAAGTGTAAGACTCTTACTGACTAAAAATCCCCGTTCCTTCTCTTGCTCTAGGCCGAGACCGCGGTGCCTCATTGCGCTTACCCTGCCACCCCGGCTAAACATCAGCTCCATAGGGCCCCGTTTACCACGTTAACATTTTCTTACTTAGTTTTCCTGAAATGTTTGTCAGTGGTCTCTAAATAAACTAAAAATCTACCTATAACTCAAAAAAATCACATTGTTATTGGCCAGGTATCGAAAGCAAGCCATATTGCATGTGAAGTGGGTGCCTTAACCTCCAGGCCTTACAACCACTACATGTTTTTACTTGTAAGTAAATAACATTATTATTATTTTGCTATAGTATCATTTTTTGTAACAATAACCATAAATAGATATGACAAAATTATCATATAAAACACTAATGTCTATAAAGAATCACATAGTATAAACTAAAACAAATTCACTTTCTTTGTCCCCATATGATCTATGTTTGATCAAATCTTTAAAACTACGCAACGGATTTTGATGCGATTTTTTAATTGCGATTGAGTTCCTACTCAATCATTCTATCTATGATTTATATAATATGTATATGTTTAATAAGAACCATTAAATAGTAGAGACATTTTGTATCGGCAATGTACCTGTGCGATGACGAGTTGGGTTGCCAGTAATTCATTCAGTAATTAATTCATAAAATTTTCAAAGATATTGGGTTAGTGTTATTGATGTATGTAGTGTGTAAATTAATTTGTGTAGCTTCATGGACCGAAATAATTTGTATGGCAGAGTAACTCTTCCTTCAAAACATCATATCAGAAAAAAAGTATTGAAGGTAATGGAAAAGTTAATGTCTATTCGTATTTATTTCATTCTGAAATGTTTTCACTCTGAAGCAGGTTCAAGATTAATGTTTACATAGAATAAATATGATTTTATGAATCTATATTTTGTACAGAGTCAGAACTGCTATGTCTAGTTTCTGGGCTATAAAATGGACAAAAACAATATTGCTAACTGATTATTAAGGTTTCCACCACCCAATAAGGCCCTAGGGCTGTTTACTGTTTTACTAAAATGCCCACAGACCCTAATGGAATCGATTACGCCACTAACCCTGCAATATGTGTTTACTTAAGGTGAATAATTATGCGGTTAATTAGTAATATGATATTACAAACAAGTTTCAATGTGAGTGATATTTCAACTGGCTTGTTTTATTTATTTACATGTTAGTATGTCAGCTGAACAGGGTTCTGCTCGGAGTAAAAGTTCTAACGGGGTGGTTCTAGTCAGCAAGAGCCCACCACTGCTTCTCACTGAGCGCGAAGACATATTCGAGAGATAGTATCAGATTCTTACTGAGTAAAAACCACCCTGTTTGATCTCCTGTTTTATGCTGTATCCGCGGTACCTCCACCGCTAGCACTAATACTTATTCAAGATTTTTTTTATATTCTCTACGTACATACCTTCCAAATCGTCGAGTTATAACGTTACAACGAAAAGTGGCATTGATTTTTATAGACAAATATAGATTATAATTTGTGTACAGTTCAAATTAAAATGATACTGTCATACGTCTGCCATAATACCTATGAAATTGCTGTTTTTCACGAAATAAATGAAGCATTTATTCGTAATACATATATTAATCAAAGTAACCATCCATACAATTAATATATCTTTGTCAACAGATTGGTAGCTTTTTGGTTTTTGAAATTGCTGGACGGGATGCAGCAAATTCTCGTGTATTGAATGGGTTTTACGTAAAGAAATTTTCCAGAATCTGAGAACAGTAGAATTCTGTAGGCGCAAGGTCTGGTGAGTTCGATGGATGACAAATAATTTTTAAACCCAGCTCTTGTTGCTTTGATACCGTATGCTGTGCAGTATGAGGCCGCGGGTTGTTGACTCTTGAGCTTCACCATTTTCGTGTTAATTCTTCAATGTACAGATCAGCAAAAAACTCGTCCCGTTTTGTAAGAATCTGTGATGAATTATACCCGTTTTTAACCACCAAATACGACTATCACTTTTTAGGGCATTTTTCGGATGCTGAATCCAGTCCAACCTACTAGCTCAGCTTACTATTGTCGACCAGGATCCATTTCTTGTCACAATTGCGGTCAAGAATTCCTGTTGAGTAAACATGGCAAGCGTCGTAGTGACTCAGAGGTTAAGGGTTATTTATTCAGGCAACTCATTAGAGCCACCCGGCACCCACCCAGCACCGCTTCGTTGCACGAACGTTCACTCCTTGTCAACAACGAGTGCATGTCGCGTTATCACCAATAGACGTCCCGCGGTCTATTATTAGAAAAAAATGTAGATAGCTATTAGTAGGTATTTAGCTATAGGTGTAACCAATTTTAGGTAGCCATTAGCACATGTCATCTACAAAAATTGTATTTCGTTAATTCAGTATTAAATAATACAAACATCCGCTTCAATTTCATCCAGGGTCTTCATTAAATGTGGCATTCGCTGTTCAAGGACAAAATAATAAAATATCAACTTGTTAAAAGTCGTTTGCTATAAGATGATGATATACGACACAAAATACGCGAATATTAATACAAATCTATTATTCAAAAACTATGCAAATAAATTAATTCCTTAATCCCCTATTGATTTTGATAGTTAACTATTTATTTTTGTTATAGACCTGGCTTGCTATGGAAACGATAGGTACTCAAACAATGAATCTAGAAATAATAAAAATTGATTCCTTTAAAATCTGCTCATAAACTATGTTAAAACAATTTAATATTCTGAGATTCTAATCGTATATAATACTTATGCATCGTCATCTACCTAGGTACTAACTTAACTTCATTTTTGTTGCTTCTGATATACTGATTCTGTGCATGCCAAAATGTTGGTCATATAATACAACAGTCGTGCTTGTGACAAATGATGCCGAGTACATGAGAAATGCGCATAGCAAAAAAGGAACGCATCCCTTTGAATCTTTAAACATGTCTGATAAATCATTGAGGTAAATTAAATTAATGAGGTTTGCGAGGATTCAGTCATTTGGCGTTTGGTTCGGCCTACCTATTCCGAAGGGATACTTTTTGTTATTTTTTAAATATGGCCTTAAGCCTTTGACTGCCGACTGAAAACTATTGAAGGCAAATCCTCCGCTACCGTAGGTCACCGGTGACCTACGCGGCGGTTAACGTGTTAAGAGGTATGGTGTACATATATAACAATGGTAAAACCCCTACGTTTTTTTTTGTGAGGGGAAAATCATCAAATGACTTCTCCCGCCCAGAGCCGGGCGGGAGGGAGTGTCAGACTCTTACTGACTAAAAACCCCCTGTTCCTTCACCTGCTCTCGGCCGAGGTCGCGGTGCCTCATTGCGCTTACCCCGCAACCTTTTATGCTTTTTTGTTTTTATTACGAAATGCTTTACAGCGTTTGAATATCACTAACATGCTAGAAAAATGTACATAATTATCTGAAACATAAGTTTATCTGGTCCTTAAATGAAGGTTGTGAACATAGCCTATAATATTAAAATGTTTATTTAACGCGAAGGTTTGTATAAGTTTGCCTAACGTGGACGTATCTGAATTAAATTGAACAAAGATAAATCATAGTCTGGAATAGTACCTAAGCTACTTGAATGCTCCAGTTGGTACGGTGGCTGGGCAACTGGCTGCCGTTCAACGTGTCGCAGGTTCGATACCCGCACGGAACAACACTTTGTGTGATTCACAAATTGTGTTTTGGGTCTGGGTGTGATGTATATGTGAAATTGAGTGTTTGTAAACGCACCCACGACACAGGAAAAATCACTAGTGTTGGGCAACGTTACCTAAAGAAAAAAAAAATCTGGCAGTTTCTGTCATTATATCAACATAATCATATTACTAACAAACATTAACTTAGTTTCAATTATGAGATAATAATATATTTAAATGGGCAAATAGTAACTATACATACATAAAGGACCGAATTACACCGTTCAACGACACCAATATAACTGTTCGATTTTATTAACTTGGAAAATGTGTTTTTTTAGGCGGAAATGACTTTTCCCGCCCTGGAAAGACAGGGAGTGTTAGAATTGTAATGGGGCTCTTTTCCTGCTCCAGATCGAGGGCGTCGTTCATTACTGCGCTTGGCCCGCAACTACGGCCAAAAATAGCGACCCCAGCTGATTATCGGCGTAAGTGGACTCCATCCAAAGAGGTTTGGTAGGTCTTTGGAGAGAGTATATCTAACATTACAATTTCAGTAAAAATATTCTAGACAGTAGTGCCCCAGCGATGCGGTCATTTATCTTAAGTAGATTTTGATGCCCTGGCGGAAGTCCAGTTAAGTAGTAAACAGCTTTGGCGTGCTCAACTACGAGTGGTCCTATCCAAAAAAAGGCCAATTTTTTTTTAAACAACAATCTGGATTCCTTATTTAAATCAATATTAATCAGTTTTTATTATAGAAATAAGTTATCTCTGTGCCGAAATTCTACGAAATGCCACGGTTTGACGTGAAAGCGTGGTAAACAAACTTACTTTTGCAATTTAAATATTATATAACAGCGATGACATGTAATCCTTATCATCTTTGATCCATTTATATGTGAAAGTGATATAACATGATATTACTCAAAAACATGTAGAAGATGCTCTTATTGCATAATAATCTTCATAGAAAATGCACTCTAATGATTAAGGAAGTTACATTTTAATGTTCATTACCTTGCATAATTACGAAAATTAGTCCTTATCCATTTGCAATTATTTAAGCAAGGAAATATCTTACAATTTATGTTGTGAAATTTTCTATTTTTTTTGTAACTGTTACCTTTCAAAGCAGGACACAAATTAATTTTACCACAAGTTACAAACCGCATTATTTGTTTTACATCTAATTGTATAAAATTGTAGAAAACAATTATTTGTTTATAAACAATACCTCGTGCAATTTTAATATCGATTGTAAATCACCAGTATTAAAAAAAAACAATTGCTGGTCGGCTCCAGGAGCCTGTGGGGCCCATTTTAGGAGCGCGATTTTAAACATGGCTGGGATTGTTATGTCAACCATTCTATGTATTACCTGAACCAAATTACAAATGACAAAAATAATAATACAAATTTATAAAATCAGTTCCTTTATTATCTAAAACAATACTATTAAGGTTATTGATTCAGTATATAAATATTATATACATCATCAAGAGTATTTACAGTCTTAACAAGCTATTCTAGATGTTGTTTAGCCTAGGAGTGAAGCGACGACCGCTGAAGGGACAGCACCGCCGGGACCTTGCTGGATTTGGGGTTTGAAACCATTTTCGTCAGCAGTGTAGGTGACTACGTAGGTGACACCGTCAGGTCCAACCCAGGCGTACTGTCCCTGTACAGCGATGGCCTCATTTTCCGTGCCTTGGTTCTTAAGCTGTCCTTGTTCTTCGTGCTTGGACCCATCGGATAGCTCCCACCTGTAAAATAAACATTAAGAATTCAAATATATTTCAACAAATCCAGAATGCGTTGAAACGCAAGGAGTCCTTACGCGAAGCTGTAAGAATCCAGTCCAGCGTTGTTAACATCATATCGGAGGATCTGAACGTCCTGGGGATTCTGTTGGGGAGCAGCGTACGCGGCAGCGACCAGAGCAAGAACGATGAACTGAAAAAAAAGTCCTCCGTTAATCCAATTCACATTTCACTTTTCACTACACAATCCATGACGTCACTGGGATAGTAAACGAACCAATTTCATTTTGCTTGTTTTTTTGTGACTGTCTTCTTCAGAGTACACTTGATGTGTGGGATGATTACGTATCCAAACGGTTCTCTTATATACCAACGTAAGTATTTCTTCTAATACCGCGTTGCAACATTGTGGCTGGGGCAGTAAGGTGCTTCTTATTACCTATACCACAAGATCCAGCGTCTGGCTCGGCGGGCTACGTGGTATACGGGTACGTATATTACACGCTTTTAATCGATGTAGTTTTAGTGCCATCACGTGTTTGTAAACACTTAATTTTACCATGCAATTGTGTTACGTAAAAAATAATTGGTGTTCAATGTTAATACAAACTACAAAATGTTTATTGTCTTTACTGTTATTTAAGAACATTTTGTTTGCTTAGATTGTGAATGAAGTGATTTTATTCCTTTATTGCAAATGTATGCAGACGTAATAGATACAGATATTAATTAGCCGTTAATGCACCTGTTTATTGTTTCTACTAACATTAGTCGCTATTAATGTCTTCTTTAACAAACATGTGTTAGTTGCAGAAACAATATCTACTTGAAACTAAACATTTATGATTTTAATTAAATTTAAAAGAAAATTTTATGCAGGTGCAATGTTGGAAGTAAATTTTGATGAGTAAACATTTACTATGATAGCAGCATACATCATACGACTGACCTTTTTAAATGTTTAACATTAGCAACTCAACAAATATTTCTTTAGAATTACGTTTTCCATAGTAAAATAAACATATTTTTGCACAAGACCTATTTCTTCTATAGGTCAACGCATACATTATGGAACTGACATTCCGGGGTCTGCATGTGGGCGATGCTATCATCTCGTTTCTTCCATTTATTTTTAGCCCACGTTTTCAACAAAAATATTCTGTTAAATAAGAATTTTATGGTATCCGTTAAAGTGTTATTTAAATTATGTAAACAAAATACGGTACTCAAATTCGTCACTTCTATCATCTCACTATACACATCATAAACTAGGTACCATCGATTTTGTTTCGATTATTACTAAGGACTGGATTAATCAACCTTTAAATGACAAGCCCTCTTAGTACAAAATAGGATTTATCTTCAGTCTATGTTTAAACCATTGATCATTTTGAATTAAAAAACTGGCTGAATGGTTTAGACCCAGACTAAATAAGAGCATTGTTTTATAATAAGGCCGACTGAGTTCAGCGGTAAGGCAATGAGGGGAAACTTCTGGAAACAATCCCTGTACAAAACATCTAGATACTATGGACGTTGATGAATAGATCATGTTTTTTGCATTATGTAGATTAATCCTGAAATCTCATGTTGAAATACTGCTTACTACGACACCAACAAGATAGCAGTATTAAATGTAGTTCTAATTTCAACAATAATTATAAGTTTAGTAATGGTATATAGTATTGCAGGTGATGTGATCATACGACAGATTAGGAGAACCATTTTTGGACAAAAGCTAGTGTTGCTAGATACGTTAATGATGTTCACATAAATTACCAAGTTCTTAATTCACGAACTCCCTAGATTTAATTAATATTGCGTAATTTTAATCTTACACTTTTGTTTCATTTCCCATGCAACAGTGCTTTCTGTAAATCTAGTTCACATTAATTGAAGAGAGACACTTCCTAGGTGAAGGATAGCAAATATTATACGAAACGGTAAATTAATTTGTATTCTATTTCTACATAATAACAAGTTGGGTGCATGGCCAAGTAACATTTGCCCTGGAAACTATGTTAATTTATGAATAAAAATTACATAACAGTAGCAGAGTCAAATTAAGCGCCTACTTATAATGTTGTAACTGTAATAGTTAGCACTCACAAAACATTAATCTACATTATTATTTGGTACAAAAGTTAATGTACCTAGTTCATGATTTCATGTTCGCCTATGATTCACAATGAAAGATGTATTATAATGAATGGACAGGATTACACGCCGGCTTCACTTGTAATATATTAAGTAAGATTGACTTTTGCCCACGACTTCGCCTCTTCCCAGTCACAATTGAACTCTCTAGACGGTGCCTATACATTACGTACATAAGCAGACAGTGACAAAAGCCATTCAGTGCGTCCCAGACAGTCCATTAATTACTTATTTGAGAACAACACTGTGTATTTGCCTATGACTTGAAAAACTGGTGAAATTATTAGAATAATTTGGACACGGTATTCTAATAGCCTATAAGGGAAATTTGGAATATCAATTTGGTTACATCATACATGTTGATGTGGAAATGCCGGTGAAATACTGTTTTATAGGGACTAATTTACGACGTTCCGACATGTTGTTTATGATGAATTCTCTTAAGAATGTATGTTGAGTCGATGTTGAGTCGTTCTGACCTATACGCGCCATGTGGTTTGTGGAGCCAATAGGTTAACAGCATGCTGTCGCTACTTAATGCAACTGTCGAAGCCCGCAAGGCGTGACTACTTACTATAGTGAAGCGTGTAATTGCTTCATTAACTAACTATAATCAATATATTATTTCCACGTTAAACATTCGTAGGTTTTTTTTATTTGATAAATCGGCCAACGAGCAAGCGAATTACCTAATGGTAAGCAATCAGCGCCGCCCATGGACAACCGCAACAATGGAGGAGTTACAAGTGCGTTGTCGACTTTTTGAGGATTAGGGATTTCGAGATTTTGGGATTGGGCGTGGGGAAGGATTAGGCCTCCGGTAACCTCATTCATAAGGTGGAACAAAAAAATGTAGTTGTTTGAGAGTTTTCTGTGAGGTAGAAGTATCATTCAGGTCGAGCCGACCCATTCGTGCCGAAGCATGGCTCTCCCAAACTTCCGAAGCATGGCTCGCTCACACTTGTCCAGTCAATACGCTTAACATTATTGCATAAGCCTTTATTATATGCCGATATGAGCTCACATTATTTGTATATAGAGCAGACGTAATAATACCTAACCGCTTTCTTTTGAAAGTAACTGACATTGATTGGGTGGAGCTCACTATGTCTTCGTTTATGCAACTAAGCCGCCTCATTCCCATTCATCTAAGCCTCGTCTAGCTTTTTCAAAGACTTACAAGTTACTAGACATTATAAGGCCTGGACGGTGATTAGTTACACTGACGTTAAAGTGTCAGACTAGTGTTTTAAGAGTAGGTACTTTATCAACATAGACTAATGGTTCTTTGTAGAATTATATTGTTCTATTTACTAAATGTCTTTCAAGATTAATAGTAACACTAATGGAGCTAAAGCTATTTCGTATATGTAAAAAAATACATTATTATAATGTAGATCATTAGACACCAACCTATGACCTCTAAAAGCTTTTGATGCGTAATTTGTAGGTCAGGCTGTAGAAGGTAAAATAAATAAAATAGGTACCTACATACATATGTTTGTATGATGTGATTGTGTGGATGATGTGACCGATTATGTTTTTCTTTTTTTATAGGTAGTTGGTAACAGAATAGGGTTAGTATTAAAAAACTAAAAAATAAATAGGACTTATCTTTTTCCTTAAATTTGGACTCTATTTCCAAAGGAGCTTTTTTGCAATTTAATAATAACATTTTGTGAGATTTAACGCTATTTAAGATTAAAAAGTAAAATCCAAAGAGAATTAATAAATTTTTATAACAGTACTGTCTCGATTGTCACTTACTGTACTCGTCATTGTCAATAAGTCATTGACCTCTACTTGAAGTTTTTTTTATTGTAAGCACCATATAATGAAATGTTTGCTTTATGAATAATGAACACGCATTATCTCTGTTCACGTTCAAGAATAGGTATACACTAGTTCGTATAACTAAGTTAAACTATATAAAACATCCCAAAAATCATAATGACTTGATATATCATTATAATGTGTTCAATGATTTACCAAAAGACCAAAGAATTTTAACGTTTTCCTTAAGTATCATATGGGAAGCTCAAATTGGCTTTTAACATTTCCATTAGACTTTAGACGAATTATTACGAAGATGCATTTGCACACTAAAATCTTGTTTCTAACATTATATGCTAGAAACTAGATTTTAGTGTGGAGTAAATAAGGTCTAAATTGGCTGTGGAAATATAATTTATATATACACGAACAAATTACAGAGCTAAATGTAAAATGATGTGTGAAAGGTCAAGGTTTTAAATTTTGTGATAGACAGTGTACAGAATTAGTTTGAGACTGTGTGAACTTGCTGTATCAATTTAGTCGACTCATCTCTGATGTAACCATTAGCTTTGTAGATGGAGATACGGTGCATTTTCGTCTCTATTTTTGGGGAGGGACACCCATAATATGACTTCTATTGCCTTCGGTGGGTCGACAGAGAGTGTCAGGTTCTGACTGACTATAAAGTATCCCGTTGCTACTCCTGCTCCGAGTCTCTTTACTGCGTTTGGATCTGCGACCCCCAGTTCTGCAGATAATATGCTAATGAGTCCATTGCCTAAAAGAACTAAGATGAATATGATATGATGATAACGGTATCATCGTCAAATTCTTCTACTACTTACTGTGAAAACAAGTATATTTATAGCGTTAAATTCCTTACTTAAACACAATAAAATTAAAATGTCAGTTTATGTACATATAAGTAGTACCTATGTGGTGCATAATTTTGAAAGCTTTATGGATGTTGCATGACTGGAAAAGATTGTAGTCTTCAGTTTATGAATGTAGTACCTACTTAAAGAAGGAGAAGGAGGTAAACTTTTTCGAAAAAGTAAGACGAATTACAAAATCTTTTCAAACATATTTCATCCTCACAATAGAGGTTAAACCCAACCGGTCTGCTTACGTCACAGTCTGTTGAACCGTTGAACTGAACCATGCGGAGTCGACCTCTGACACACGTCGCTTTCCTTATAGATTAAAACGTCTCAAATTTTAGGTCAAACTTTTAATACGGATGGTTCAAAACATTATAAAGAACTTATATTTCCATATTAAACCGTATGCATTAATATTATGTAGTACAAGGTTATAATGACATAACAGTTTGTCGGCACCAAGACGACACCTCATTATTTTACATAACTATATAAATATTTACATTCCATTGAGTGGGTCAAGTTTTATGCGATGATGCGTTTGCCATAGCTATGTTTTTGAGCTTTTTATTGCTTTAATCTGTAATGGACTTGGCAGC